TTTTAATTTATTCCAAAGCATTCTATTCCTTTTGTGTTTTTTTTTTTTTGGTACCAGGGATCGAACTTGGGTCCTTGCGCTTGCGCAGCAGGCGGCGAAACCACTGAGCTAAATCCCCAGCCTTTTTTATGTTATTTTAAACTGAATTATTTTCTTAATTTCACGTTCAAATGTTCATCATTATATAGAAATATATTTGATTTTTGGGTGTTGATCTTACGTTCTGCAACCTTTTTGTGTTTGTAATCTAATGATTTTTATTGTTATTTTGTGGTGCTGACATTAAACCCATGGCCTTAAACATGCTAGGCAAGCACTGTACCACTGAGCTATACCTGTAGCCCTAAAAAGGTTTTATTTGTGGTGTGAGTGTGTATTCCAAGGATTTTCTACATACAAGATCACATTATTTATAAATAGAGATTGTTTTACTCTTAAAATCTGGATTATTTGTAGATGCCTTTTATTTTACTTTTTCTCCCTAATTACCTTGGCTAGCACTTTCTGGAGTGTTGAATAGAAGTGAGACAGGTGTGGTGGTACATGCCTGTAATTCCAGCACTCTGGGAAGCTGAGGCAAGAGGATCATGAGTTCAAGCCCAGTTAGTGACAGTGCAACCCTGTCTCAAAAAAAAAAAAAAAGAGTTGGAGATGTAGTTCAGTACTACAGTACTGCCCAGTACAATCCCCAGTACTGCCTCACCCTAAAAGTGACAGAAGTGGACATCCATGTCTTGCAAGGCATAAGGATTTTTATTCTCATTTCTTATGAGTTTCAGACTTTGGTGGTATTTCACATTTCTTTCACTTTCTATATTGATCTTATTTGGACCTCTATAATATACAAAGTGAACTATTATTCTTGTTTTGAGGTACTGAGGAATGAACCAAGGCTTTTGCACTGAGCTATACCTCCAGCCCTTTTTATTTTTTATTTTGAGATAGTGTCTCATTAAGGTGGCCAGGCTGGGCTCCAAATTGTGATCCTCCTTTCTCCGTCTCCCAGAGTGCTGAAATTAGACATTTCTCACCACAGCTGGCTAGAACTGAACTTTTTGAGGACATTTTCTGTTGCTAACTTTTCTCTATGGCTATGAAATGAATAGTTCAAAAATAAACGCTATCAATGTTAACTTGTTTTTTAATACATAAATCTGAAATTTTATTGCTACTTACTATCTACTGAAATCTACAAATCCCAACAAACCATAAAGATAATATAAAACATCTTGCAGAGTTTATTTTGAGGTCACTTGGAATAAAAAGCAAACTATAGTTCTAATACACTGATAGAAATGAAAGAAACAATACAGGATAAGGTTCATACTCCATAATTGTCAAAGGGCATTTTCATGAGAGAGCAAAGATTAGTTCTCCCTTATTATAGTTGCTTTTTTCTTTTTTCCCTTTTTCTCTCTTTCGTTTTTTTAACTTTTTTGTACTGAGAACCTAACCCAGAGCCTCAAGCTTGCTAGGGAAGCACTCTATCACTCTGTAAATTCTAACCCCTATTCTCCCTAATTATAAATATAACCTCAAAACATCCTAATTTATCTTAACCAATTATGGATATTTTATGAATATATCTGTCTTTTAAAATAATTATTTTTCAGCCATGCCAACTTTGTGATGTATTCCAGGTTACAGATGATTGTAACCTTCAAATTTAATTTGGTACTTCAATTCAAAGAATTCCCCCTGGTTTTATTATTTCAGAATTTCATTTAAGTTCAGATCACCAAACATACATTAACTGTCTATAATGGGCTAGCAGGTTCTAAGATGAAAAGGTCATTAATTAAGTCTCTGTCCTCAAAAAGTGTATTCTCTATCATTAATGAGTAACCAATGTTCACTTTTTATGATTTCAAAAACTTTGTTTATAGTATGCTTTATTTATACATAATCTAGTCTTTATTATCTGGCCACTTGCTCTTTTCTTTCCTGATTGCGTATTAGGATTTTTTTTTGTGGGGGGGGGGGGTACCGGGGATCAAACTTGGGACCTCATGCTTGTGAGGCAGGCGCCGGAACCACTGAGCTAAATCCCCAGCCCCTTGTCTTAGGATCTTTATTAGCTTTCCTGTTTTCTAGGTGTAGACAATTCCCCTGAAGTAGGATACTAATAGTAATTTTACTAAGAGAAGCTTATTGGAATTCCTTCAGAGAACAGTGCTCATAGGAGTTAGCAATTTTTTTTTGTTTTTGTACCAGGGATCGAACTCTGGTCCTTGAGCTTGTGCAGCAGGCAATGAAACCACTGAGCTAAATCCCTGGCCCTTAGCAATTTTTTTGTGGAAAGGACTAAAGAGTAAATATTTTTGGCCTTGTGGGCGACATACAATATCTTCTCTTGACATATTCTTTTTTTAAGATAACCTTTTAATATGGAAAAATCATTTTTCATTCTTAGGCTATACAAAAATAGACTATAGTACCCAACCTTTGAAAATATGTTCTGCAAATTGCTAACTCCACTGGATGGTCCTTGAAACAAGGATTTCATGGTCAAATAAATTTGGCAAGTATTGTATAATTCTCTTGGAAATTTTTAAAGCTTTTGTTAGCATTATTAAAGTCTTTAAAAAGCCCTTTGGCATGAACTTCTTTTTGTTTTATTTTATTGAGTCTATTACCTACTTGTATTCCATAGACTTAGCTTCTCATATGTATGATTTCTAGATCATCTCTCGATCATAATTTATATTCAGACATCTTTTCATATTATTTTCTTCTAAATTCACTTTATCCAGTTCTACTCAAAATTTCATTTAAAAGTGTTCTACATACTTATAAGACTGTATTGTTAGTTTGAAATTTAAACATCTAAAAAGAACCAAACTGTCTGATTTCTCAGTGATTTTTTTTCTAGTATAATTTTATGACATTTATGTTTATTTGTTTATTTTTTTCTCTCTCAACCAGGAAAAGTGGGTTGAAGTTGCCTCAATGAAAGTGCCTCGAGCGGGCATGTGTGTTGTGGCAGTCAACGGTCTTCTGTATATTGCTGGAGGCCGATCTTCTAGCCATGATTTCTTGGCCCCAGGTACCTTGGACTCAGTTGAAGTTTATAACCCTCATTCAGATACATGGACTGAAATTGGTAACATGATCACTAGTCGTTGTGAAGGGGGTGTTGCTGTACTATGAAAGACAAAGCATAAGAGCACAAGGAACATATTGTAAATGTAGGATCTGACCTTTTGCAAATCAAACATATAGGTATTTGATGATAGGTCCCTCTGATTCTATAGGTAGATAAGTGAATAAAGAGTAATCTTTTTAAAAACTGAGAAAGGAAATAGAATATATTCTCAATTAAGAAAGAGCTCACATAAATTTGCCACACTTCCCACAGAAATGCTGTTTATACTCTAGAAAATTTTCCAGTTAAACCTAGAGTCCTAATTGTAAAAATTTGCTAGAAGCTTCTGGGAAAATAGTCCCTTTGGCTGTTTTCTCAGTGTACTTCAAATTGTAACTTACCCTATATATGATGTAGAAATAATGTCCATGAAACAGTTTAAAGACTCCTGTACATTCATGATTCAATCCCAGCACCATTTTTCATGGCCATAGTTTAACCTGCAAAGAAAAGGCAGTGAAATAACTTCATACTTTGATTTGATAGCAGGAGTTTTCACCAGCCTCGTTTTATTGGCAACAGACATACTCAGAGGAGCGTATGGGAAGTATCTGGCTATTTAAATTGTTGTTTTGGGGGTTTTTTGATACCGGGGATTGAACTCAGGACTTTGCGTTTGTGAGACAGGTGGTGGTGGCACCACTGAGCTAAATCCCCTAAAATTTTCTGTTGATAGCCTAAGAAAAGCTTTTGCTTGCTCATATTTTTTGTTCTGATTCTGAAAATGCAAGTAAGGATTAATAGTTTCTTGGTGACAGTCCTTGGTTGAAATAGGATGTTGTAATGGGTGATAGAGCCCAGCAAGATAGTATTATGCACCTAGAAATTGCTTCCTTAGTTTATATGTAGTCACAAATATTACCTCTTTGGTGCAATCTCAGTACTTGGGAAGCTGAGGCAGGAGGATCACTAGTTCAAGGCCAGCCTGGGCTACATAAAAAGATCCTGATTCAAAAAAAAAAAAAGGTTGGCTTTAGGAAGAGGGACTTTTATTAGATTATCAAGCTTCGTGAAATTTACTTGGGCAAGTCTAAGTATGAGCTTACTGCAAACCTACTGCTTGGCTTGGAGAAGGCTAAATTATTGGTACCATTTGAGTATCCCTAATCTGAAATCTGAAACTTTAAATGCCGACATGATGCTCAAAACGTTTTGGATTTCGGCCAGGCGTGGTGGGGCATGCCTGTAAACCCAGCATTCAGGAGGCAGAGGCAGCCTATGAGTTCAAGGCCAGATTGGGCTATAAAGTAAATTCAGGGTCAGCCTGAACTACAAAGGGAGACTTTATCTCAGGAAAAAAAAGCTGTGGATTTCAGATTTTCAGAATAGAAAGTCTACACAAATATTCCAAAATCTGAGAAGCTCAAGATCTGTAACACATCTGGTCCCAAGCATTTCAGATAAGGAATACTCAGCCTGTTCCTATGAAACTTTTTATAGACAGCTCATAAATTGAAAACCACTTCTGATCCAAAACTGGTTCTCAAAAATTTTCCTTTCCTTCTGAAAAGCATTCTAAAGAATTTTCTGTTCAGTTCTGAAGACTCATCGTGTATATGATCATTGCTTTTATTTCTGGTTTTTTTTGTTGTTGTTAGTATTGGGGATCAAACATGGGACCTTTCACTTGTGAGGCAGGCGGCAGAACCATTGAGCTAAATCCCCGGCCCCATTCTTCCATTTCTAATAGCCAGACAGAACCATATGTGTTAAGGGGTTTGCATACATTAAGGTTTAACTAGCTGACTCAAGGATTTGATTTCCCAAGACTTTACAAAAGTCTCAGTATATTGCTAGAAGCGTCAACTTATTTAGATAGAAAACATTTGGTCAGCATTAAAGACTAAGTGATTAATCATTTCCAAAAATGTTTGTTCCACAAGGATATTATATATATGGAAATGCTTATGTAGCACAGAGAGAAAGTTGGGTCCCTTATGGGGTATTCTGAAAGTCTAAAGGGGCACAAATGCCTGGCTGGAATCTGTAAGATATCAAAGATGGAATATCAAGAAAATTTGTGAATTTTTTTTCGTATTGGGAATTGAACTCAGGACATTGTGCTTGCAATGCAACTCATATGCCTTTAATTTTTCTAGTTACAGAGAATCTGCCCTATGATTCATAGTGCAATTTAGTTCTTATTACACCTCGTACAATTTAAAATGGCATGATAAAGAGAAATGTTTTATATTGCCTTGGCAGAAATGTAATGTCAGGAGTGTTTGGGTTTAACAGGGCCAGAAGATCCTTAAAAATAGTTAATTGTAAATATGCTTATTACTTTCTAGGTAATGAGATTATTTTTAAAAGAATGTGTGAATAAAGTATCTAGCTTTTTTCTTTTCATTGTATTAGTTTATTAGTAATATTCCTGAATTACTACACTGTGGTGGGTTGGATTACAGAAGCTTATTAATTTCTGGGCTGTACACATTAGTTTTACATTTAATTGCCCTTTTTTGAGAGATAATTAATGTGATCGTCCTCCAAAATGTTTGACAACTCATTATGCTTCGAAATATCCTGTCCCGTCAGTCATGGTGGTGCACACCTGTAATCCCAGCATTTGGGAGAGGGTGAAGCAGGATTGCTGTTTGAGGCCATCCTGAAATACATAGCAGCAAGATCCTATCTTAAATATCCTGCCTAGTCTGGGCCTGGTAGCACATACTTATTGTCCCAGCTACTCAGGAGGCTTAGGCAGGATCACTTGAGGCTAATAGTTTATAGTTCAAGGCTAGTTTAGGCAGTATAGCCAGACTGTATCAGAGGGTTAAAAGAAGGAAAAACATTTAGTTAAAAAAAAAAAAATAGCTGGTGTGGTGACATATATTCAGCACTCTGGGAGGCTGCTGATACAGCACACTATGAAGTCCCTGGGTTCAATCTCCAGTACCAAAAACAAACAAAATGCCTAATATAGTTAATAAAATGTACTTTAAAATCAGTATTACAGAATATACTATGACTTACTTGCTCTTCTGGGAGATGATACATGTAATTGAAATTAGGAAAAAGTTTGACGTTTGTACAATACTCATCAATTTAGAAGAAATGATGTTTCCTCATCAAAACACTCTGACTAGAATCTGAGGATGATCTAAAGAGCTTTCCTTCCACATCAGCCTGCACTATTGTATATATTAATAAAGATCTGTGCTTCTCAGTAATTAACATGAGGTCTAGCTCTCTGATACTGTATTAGTTTGCCACAGAAATTTGTTTTCTCAACTATTATTTTATTGGTACATTTTAGGTATACATAATGATAATGTTCATCATAGGGGATTTGTACATGATATATCTTGTTTACCCATTCCCCTCCCCTCCCGCCAACCTTTCCCTTCTTATTTACAAAAGCTGTTTTCACTTTTTTCCTTCTATTTTTTGATACTGGCGATCAAACTCAGGTCCTTGTGCTTGCGAGTTTTCCTTCTATTTTTTTTTCTTGTCCTTTCCTTTCCCTCCTACCCTCTCCCTTGTTCCCCTTCCCATTTGAACGTTTTCTTCCCATTTCCCAATATCTATTATACATTTTGGTCCTTATTTACACATTTGGGATTTTTTGGGGTTTTTTCTGAGAAAATGCAGTATTTAAACATGTGTCTGATTTATTTCACTTACGAGTATGGTATCAAGGTGCCACAGAAATTTAAACAATAGAAATTTGACTCATAGTTCTAAGTGTTGGCAGTTATTCCTTCTGAGGACTGTGAGGGAAGGACCTGTTCCATCTGATCCTCTCAAGTAGCCTTCATATTCTCATGGCATTATCTTCCTTAGTCTGTCATCTCCAAATCTTCCCTTCCATAAGAACATGAGTCATATGGTGTTAAAGCCCACCACAGTCACTTCATTATTAAACTCATTACCTATGTAAAGGCCCTGTCTTTTTTTTTTTTTTTCTGGTACCAGGGATCGAACTCAGGTCCTTGTGCTTGCTTGTGAGGCAGGCAGCAGAACCACTGAGCTAAATTGCCAGCCCT